AATCTATAGTATAATAATCATCGTCCACGTCAGAGTTTCACCTCTTTCTCTCCGGCTTTGCATGGGTCTTTCTTTCTCCTTATCTCCCTCCCTGACCTATTATACTTCCTCTACAATTCCATTGCTTCTTGATAATCTCTCTCTCTCTTCTTTCTATCTATTGTTCTTTAATTTGTCTCTCTCTTTTTCTCTAGCAATGCTTGGAAGCTATAGAGAAGTGAGTATTAGTAATTTCAATCCATTTATGTGTCGGATTATATAACCGGACTAAATATACGTATAACTTCTTGTTATTCTCTCTTGATCATTAATATATGCAAATCACTCTATGGTAATTGATATATAAGGTTATGTGGCCAAGACTTGTGGCCAACAAGATCCTAAGGAAAAGTGTCGGGAGCAACAACTTCGTTGCCGATTTCCCACCGGATACCGAGCAGAAGTTTCTAGAAGCTTCCGGATTAGTTGATGAACGAGCTTCTTTCACTTCTAAATCAATTCTTCTCGAGCAACACAAAACCACTCATCTCAACACCAAGTAATACATAAATAACTTTCTTTATCCTATGTATTTTATAAAAATTAGATATCTTTATTTGTTAACTATTGATGAATATACTTGTACAGGGAAGAGAGCGGATCACAATACCGTTTACTTGACATAACTAGCTAGTCGCTTTTCTTGCATTGCACTACATTCAAACCTAGTATACAGTAAACCAGTAAAGCTAACCAAAACGTTGATAACTATATATATGATCGAACGTGTGGAAATTTAAAAATTAACATGTAATTTTAATTATATGTTTTTAGGGTTTTTGTAAGCACATGGAACGTCGGTGGTATTGTACCAGACGATGGGTTTGACATGGAGGATCTGTTGGAAACACATCAAACACCGTGCGACATATACGTGCTTGGGTGATTACTAAACACTACAACACAATTAAATTTATATAGCTATAACCTATGGATTTTGTTTATTTAGATGTCTAAATTTTTTTGACCAAAAAAAAAAAAAAGATGTCTAAAATTTAGTTTAAATAAAAATCTAGGTTTCAAGAGGTAGTGCCTCTTCGAGCTTCGAATGTTTTGGGATCAGATAACAACAAAGTCTCAACAAAATGGAACTCTTTGATAAGAGAGGCTTTGAACAAGGAAGCAAAACCTCATGGAGACAAAGACTTGTCGGAATCAAAGGGTATTAATGGTATTTCACAAGATTTCAGATGTATCATAAGTAAACAGATGGTCGGAATCTTGATCACCGTTTGGGTCCGAGGTGATCTCTGGCCGTACATCCGTCATCCTAACGTTTCATGCGTTGGTTGCGGCATCATGGGTTGCTTAGGAAACAAGGTAACAAATATTAAGAATTTCCTATCTTTTTAAATAAATAAATTCTCACTGTTATAGATGTGGACTGATTTAGGTATTGACTGTTTATAGAAAATGCTTACGCGCGTTCGCATTTGTATTCATATCTGATTATTTTAATTCGTGGTTGAAAATGAACTCACAGTTATATGCATGTTTCTTGTTTGACTGAGATTTATATAGCATAATAGTTTGTACTAGACTACTAATTAATTACCACCGTATCATAACCTAAGTTAATTAAAATTGGAATTCCCGTGTGTGAATTTAATTTTTATATCTAATAAGCTAACTAAACAATATCTGCATTTTGATTAAAAAAATATATAACTAATGTTCTGTTTGTCTTTGGTTATTATGATACTTGCATCATAATATATTTGGAAGAATCAGAATTTTTAACTTTGTTGAGTTTTTTACATTTTCTTGATCAATAGGGATCGGTATCGGTTAGATTTCAATTGCACGAAACGACCTTCTGTTTCGTTTGCAGCCACCTAGCTTCCGGTGGCCGTGGCCGAGATGAAAGGCAGAGAAACTCCGACGTTAACGAGATCTTAGCTAGATCGAGTTTTCCTCGAGGCTCATCTCTAGATTTACCCAAAAAGATTCTTGATCACGAGTAAGCTTATATATATCTATATATCTTTAATATAATTGCTAATATCTTAAAATGATATTCAATAACACTACTTTGTTCATATATTTTGTGTAAATTAAAAATTTCCAACTTGTTATTAATTAACTATAGCACAAGGTCATACAAAAATTATAATAGTTTTAGATAGTTGACCGGTTAATAATATTAAGACTTGATAATATGAAATGAAAAGGCTAGTTTGGTAAGTACTTGTTAAGAAATTACCAACTTGTGATAGATATGTTTATATTATTTAATTATGAAGTTATTTTTGTTGGATCAAATTTTACAGTCGAGTGATTTTTCTGGGAGACTTGAACTATAGAATTTCATTACCCGAGGAGAAGACAAGATTATTGGTGGAAAGCAAAGAATGGAACATCTTATTAGAAAATGATCAGGTAATTGTTTATGTAGATGTACTTTAATATAAATTCATTTTTTTTTTCATATGTCAAAGTTGTAAACTCGCCATTTTCTTATATATATTTTGTTATTTGTATAAATTAAGCTAAGGATGGAGATCTTGAACGGTCAGATTTTCAGAGGTTGGCAAGAAGGAATTGTCAAATTTGCTCCAACTTATAAATATGTTCCAAATTCGGATTTATATTACGGATGCATTACATATAAAAAAGACGAGAAGAAACGAGCTCCTGCATGGTAAGTAACGTATATATATATATATATATATATATATATATATATATATATATATATATATATATATATATATATATAATTTATTTATAATTTAAATAAAAAGTTTTTATCTCATGCATGCATGCATATATTTAAATAGGTGTGATCGAATAATATGGTACGGAAATGGACTGAAGCAACATGAATATACTAGAGGAGAAACGAAGATATCTGATCATAGACCTGTCAAAGCTATTTTCACCACAGAAATTACTGTTATACGGCGTGGTAAAAAGATTCGTAATTTCTTTTTCTCGGACAGATTTGAAGACAGAATTAACGGGTATAGTAGCATCGATTCCAAAGACTACTCGTGGATATCCACATAATTTTATTAATCGGGGTGAAATCTTGTCACTTGTTAATATATAATTCACCCAATTATAGTTATAGTTTTTATGTAAAAAAGCTTATACATATAGAGTCTTTGTTTTATACATTTTTAGTTCTTAGCATGTTCTTTGTGCAATAAGAGAATCTATAGAAGAACTACATAAATCATCTTCTACAGTTGTATGGTAAAATAGTATTCATGAATTACAAAAGTATATTGAGTTTTCACAATGCATATGCAATATATTTATGCAGTTCAACAACTATATGGTCCAACACTGAGATTACAAAATTAGTATACAAAACCTTTTTAAAAAACAAATTATTACATAAATAATTATGCGACTACGAATGAAGATTCACATTTAGTAAAACCAGATCTTTGATCTCCAACACTAAAACGAATTCAATTCCCAACCACCAAATTAAATATCACTGGATCATCCATTTTGTTCGAATTAATTTCAAATTATGAATACAACTTTTTCTTAGATTAAAAAACATAAATTGAGGGTGACTTTCCATGCAATAACATACAAGATTAACACTTTAACAACAAAACAAACTAAGGCTATTGTTGACAAGCCATATGGTTGGTTAATTTGGCAATTGGCATTATGTGTGGACAGGAGGCTAAGAGCATGAACAATTGGGTATTTTAAATAATAATATGAGACTAATAATCATATTTTATTTTATCTTGTTTTCGCAAAACAAATAGATATGGTTTGTTAATTATAATGGCAAGTGGTTTTAGTAAATGCATATGAGTTGTTGTCAATTTGTCTACCAAAATTATAGTTGTTGGAAATAGGATAATATCAAATATGAATATCGAATGAACTTTTTTTTTTATTATAAACTAGGATCGGACCCGCGGTCCAACGCGGGAGAATATTGGTTTACATACGTTGATTTTAATAGTGCGTGTTTTAAGTTGAGCGAATCGGGTAGTATACTTATAAATATTCATAATAAAGAATTGTAGAGAAAATGTTAAATTGTTTATAATTAAATCGATCATATTAATTATGATTAAAAATAGAATTTTATGTTTTAGAATTCTAAAATTAGATGATTCATAGGAATTAGAGCAATAAAAATAAGTCAAAAACCGTGGGTCGAGCCCAAATCATCTCACTATGGGGCATATTTATGAAAATATATTAAACCCGTAAATAAACGGGCCACACGGATTGATTCGCAGTGGATCATAGGTTTTAATCGGTTTTCGTCCGCGGGTTGGCAGATCAGCCCGCATGTTAGTATTTATTGATAAAAGTATAATTTATTCAACATTTGGTAATTTAAAAACTTTTAATAAATGAAATTATAATATTTATAAATATAATGAGATATAAAAATGCAAAATAAACAAATGAATCGTTGTAAGAAAAAGGGAAAAATAAAATACAGGATAATCTCTTTACCAATACAAAATTGGACCGTTGCATGAAATGTTTTATAAGATCAATGAATCCATTATTTTGTACTTGCGACATGGCAACAGAAATTCGCTTAGGAAAATAATTTTTTGATTATGCGTATCTAAAAAATAATGTGAAAAATAGAATAATATCAATTTCTTCAAACACAAATATATAAATGGGAAAAATAGAAATACAAAATATCCTTTCACAAAAAAAAAGAAAAAAAAAAAAGAAATACAAAATATCTAATCAGCCCATCACAAATAAACAAATGACTCGTTGTCAAAAATTGGGGAACAAGAAGATCTCATTACCAATAAACAAAGTTTTTAAAAGACCAATGAATCCAATGTTCCACTAATACTTGCAATTTGCCAACAGGAAAAAAAGGAAAAACTTGGGATTATGTAATTGTATATTGGGCCTATTTAAGATAACGAGCCCAGGCCCATATCAGAATCTTATCGAGGTAAATGATAAAAAATGACATTATTGGCCTTTCGAGTTTCAGCGCCATTGAAACGTTTCAAAATCTTCACGGAGAGCTCCAAAATCAGAGAGAGATGTCTACGGAGATCGGTCATCTTCGTCGGAGATTGGTCGAGTTTTTGATTCAATCTACTACTGTAAGTTTAATCTTCTTCTCAATCGTTATCTGTTGATGTTTTCTCTCCTGATTTTGGTTTTGGATCTGATTTTGGCGATGGAAGCAACTTGAACTTCCTCCGATCGTTAAATACTCAGCTCTATCGCTCTTCTTTGATCGATTTCGTCCAAATGTAGTCAGGTATTACGATTTTAATCCTCCGATGATTCCTGATTTGAGAATTTTGTAGTGAATTCGATTGTTTTTAGGGTTTAATTGAACAAACCAGTACTCGTTATCGGTGAAATTGCAAGTATAGATTAGTGATTTAGTGTAACAGATGATACTGTAGATTTGGATCAGTCCTTGTTTTCGGATAGATTCACGATGTGTTAGTATTGATACTCATCGAAGAATAAAATCTTGTTTGATGGATTATTTAGGCATTATATAATGTTTGTGGGTGTCTCTTTAAAGGTTCTGGATACTTTGGGTTTTATAGGTTTTTACAGAAAAAGAAAGCAGAACATTGGCTATTGCAACCTTTGACTGAGAGCAATCTGCAGTTATTTGTGTTAATCTCCATTTGGATCTCATGTAAAGTGGGTTTTACTTCCTTATTTCTGCTTTTGTTTTTTTTGTGTGTTTGTTCTCTTATATGTGCACCTAGAACTGAATTGTTTGCTTCTGCAGATGCATTGTACACGAGGTTTATCGGTTCATAGTCTTAAATCCTTTGGGGATATTGTGATTACAGAGCAACTCTTCATGGTTCGCGATTTCTTAGATGCGGTAAGCTACTGTTGAAAATCTTTAAATTGTGACTGAAATTTGATAGATGCTTTGATAGTTTCAATGAGTTTTGAGGTTTTTTTTTTTTTGCAGGAACTAATTTTTCTGAAGGTAACCATTCCACACTTGGGGACGCTCTCTACGCTATAGAAGGTTTTTCAAACTTATTGGTCTGTCTTCCTCATTGTACATGAGAAGCAGGTTTTGAAGTTTGAGATAGGCACTCTAAATATAGCTTATACACTGCTTGAAGACCTTTTTATTCAGTTCAAGTAAGTTGCTTCATCCTTATCAAGTATTTAAACCCTTAAAGCTCCTGAATGATATTGTGCTAGTCCATGTTGTTATTATCTAACTCCTCAACCATATTTTTTTCTATTAGAGAAGTTGCAAAAGTTGGGGATCATTTGAACTTTGAAGCGTGTATGGACATGATGGATCTTCTTTACGAAAAAGAGGAGACATCCCTTCTTTACAGATATTCAAAATCTCTGGCTGCTTCCATTTTGGTAAACTTAATTGATCTCCGTTATAATTTGTTTAAGTAGACATTAAAATGAAGTTATAATTGTGTTCTTCTCTTGACCACAGGTCTCTTCTTACATAATAACAGTGCCTAAACAGCAGTATGAATTCCCTATCCTCCCCTGGGGTAAGCATTCATCTTTCTGCTCTTTCTATCAAAACCATTTTGTAATTACAATTACCAATGATAGATAGATTTGTATGAATCAAGTCATAGGATATTGAATAAGTTAGAAACAGGTTATAGCATATAGGATCAATAAGGCCCAATGTTCACCTTTTTGGCTATGCATTTCAACATCATACAAAAGAGTGTCTTGTTCACACATCAAGGTCTTCTTCATCTTTCCCCTTAGACCTGGACATTGTATGTTTCTCACCTAATACTTATTATTATGAATTATGATAATGAGCCATCAAGGTTGACTTATCAGTTTACGACCACCGGCCATATACGTATACGGTTTACGGATCAATCAGATCTTTTGTGGTCCATAACATTTTGCTAAACCTAACATATCTCTGGTCCGGGCCACTCAAATATTGTACCGGACCGTATAAGATATAGGAATAGGAGACAGTAATAGTAGAAGTCACTAGTCAAGCGTCAGCATTTTCTTTTTCTTATTTAAAAACCAAACCTCATTTTCATGGAGTTATAGCTGTAATACACTCACACACACAAAAGATAGAAAGAAGAAAAGTCTATTTCTATTTATTTCAAGGGTCCCTCTCCAAAATTTATTCTTCTTCATTTATGGAGTCTACACTAAATTGTTCTGAGATTTGTTCTCTGTATACCCTTTTTCAGTTTTTCACATTTCATGGTAACAAATAGGATCTCTTTCAAACAATACCAAATTCTAGAAGAGATGATTTATGTGTAAATCTTTCACCTACTCTTTCTTATATACACATGTACATGTTGATCCACGTGGTATGAGTCTTTACTGTAAAGTTAAAAAAATGTTAGGCCTATCTTATTTTTAGGGACCATTGTCGAAACTAGAAAGAAGTAGAGTGAGGTTTCTAAGGTTAGGAGAGGGTAGGCACTAGACATAGTTTTGCTCTGCTTCTGTGTTTCATGACTCTGTTATTATCTATTGATGACTAGAGAATAGAAAACAACAAAAATTAAAGACTAGAAGGCAAATGATGAGCCTAATTTTTATGAGTAGGGGATATATAGTTTTATTATCCATCAATATTATTTGGCCCTACTTCGACCTACCATTTTCATTTTCAGTTTAATTTTTTAATAATGCAGATGGTTTTGTGAAATAACAACAACTTCAAATTTAAGTATCTGTGAAATTTTGCAATTCCATTGAGCTTATAAGATAGTGACAAAAATCACCTATTTCCATAACAAACTATTAAAAGTTTCTAATTCCATAATACGCCTCTAAAATAGTGTATCCTTTCATTTTATATTTTATGTTATCTTGCTTTCACTTAAAGCTCGATTCTTTGTTTGTTTGTTTAGGAGGTTCATACATAAAATATAACCAAAAATGTACGCCAAAGATGTTTGTTGAGTTAGGAGTAGTTTCCAAGGAGTCCTTTTGAGTTTTTAGTAACAGTCCCATCTGAAATTGTCTCTTCTATAACGCTTTTTAATATGAATTTTGTATTTTGGCAGTTAAAATGGTGACAAATATGGAAGAAAAGGAAGTGGTGGAGCTTGTTGGATACATACTTTCTCATGTCCTTTACTCGAACTCTCCTTAAACCCTACAGGTACACGCATCTTTAATCCCTTCCTATCTGCTTCTCTTTTTAAAAACACAAATTAAACCTGAAAATAAAGTGTATATATATTTTTGAAGATATATATGGACATGTAGGGTCTATATTCATATATAATCACACATGCATATTATATACACATCAAATACGCATTTTCATACTTTTGAAATTTAATTGTCTTACCTTCAAACTGTTAAATATCGTTAAATATAAATTCCACTCACGTTTTGGTCCACAATTTTGACCTATAATAAAAGTTAAATTTTCCACAATAGAATTAATAGAGAAATATCAATTCAATTGAAAAAACTGACTGTAGTATGGAACATACAATGATACAAATGGCAACTCTGCACAATTACATCATTGGTAAAATACTGCAAAAATAGCCATTCCACTTCTAAAGTTTTGAGAGTTGGGACACACGTATTTTGTAATGTTTTACGAAATTTTAATTCGTATATAATGTGTATGATGAAGATCTACTATATATATTTATACATGGGGATCTAGTGATATATGTATGCTTACACAAGGCAATGACGGTTGCGATGCGACATACCAGACATGTGATTTACTAGATCCACTTCGAACCATCTAAAATTATTTTATTTTCACCTACATAAATGTGCGAATTTATTATACTTCTCCTAAATGATATTGGTACTTTAACTCTGAATATTTGTCCTTACTGTACCACATTAGGGATTTGTCTTCTCCAAATAATTAGTTTCACTATTTAACCGAAAAATCTCACCCAACATAAAGACAAATAACTAAAGTTGACAAAAGAAAAGACAAAAAAATGTGAAAATATAGAGAGAAAATAACTAAGTTTGCTTGGCATTTATAGATTTTTGTTTGTAAGCTTTCTCTAGTGGAATCCTAACTTCACAGTAATATTTACTATTACACAAAACAAAAGTGAGCTGTGCTCTAGCAAAAAATTTCAATAAATTAACTATTTGACCCTTCCGAATTGGATAGTTTTTGAATTTAATGTTTTATTTGATTTTCAAAAAACCAATAATTCAGGATTGTTGAGTTGTGAATTGGGTGTGCCACGTCGATGATAAAATCCAACCACTAGATAAGTATATGATTAGATGGAATGATTAGACACTTAATCAAAGTAGCATCCTAGGGGGTTTAGCACATTATTAAAGTGATTTTATACCTCTTTTCACTATTTAAATCTCATTTAGTTTTGTTTTGATAAATCATTCTTTTGCTTCTACTTTATACATTATGATAATATTTGTTATATAAAACGAATAATATGATTAAGTACATTTCCTTTTTATAATGGATTAAAAGTGATTATGTTTCTTCATAATCGTATCACGACTGTATCCAGCACGACGTTGACTTTTAATATTCAGTCTCCCACACATGCGATATTAAATTGGGCGATACAGTACCAAATCCAAAAACAAATGTTTTTGTAAAGATTGTAGTTTATGTGTCTAATTCTGTTTTATTAAGTTACCCAAATTTATTATTGGGAGACTTATATAACTACTCCCATTATTATTAAATCATATACTTAAATGATAAAATCATGGAATTTAAATTGCTACGAAGAAGACTTAATGTTATTGACTTATTGTATAATTTGCATGGACCGTATTAAAAATCTCATTACCCCATCCAAAGTTGAAATCGATTCTACTTGTCCTTTTCTCCCCAACCACCTTAAATGTTTATTTTTTTCTTGTGTTTTTATGTTAGGAGTTTATGTGTCATCTTTTTTGTTTTTTTCCAAACAAGAAAAAATATTGAGCACAAAAACTATAAAAGTAGATAATATATATAGATATTATTATATTAAACAAAAAATTATTTAGACCTTATCACTCTAAAATATATGTTAACAAATTTTGAATTATGTTTAATACTTGGATTATGTAGTGTCTGACATTTCATGTCAATCTTTATTTTGGTGCCGTTTTTATGTAAACAGACTTAATTCTAACCATAAAAAAATAAATCTCGAATGTGCATGGTAACTAAAATGATACGTATACTAATTTTATAAATTATTAAACTTGCTCGTTACTCATTTATATAAAATTATTTTGGTAAAATAAAATTTAATACATATATATATATATATATAATGATTTGCAGCTTGATTAGTTGGTATGGAGGGCAATAATTATGTTTGGATGGGAATGGGATACTAACAAAAGTTGTTAATTAAAATTAATTTTAAAAATAGACATCTACTTTTCTTGATGAAACTGGTGGAGAGGAGCGGTAATATGTGACCATACTTTTGATTAGACCAAATTGGCATCTTTCTTGTTATTAAAGGGGGTACATAGTATCATTATCATCTTTAACGAATCAGAGTCCACGCTAACAATAGATGACTCTGTCTTCCCCATTTGTGGTAAATTTTCTTCTCATGATTATTGTTTGGTTGATATAGGTATTATGCAAATATTGTAGATAGTAACAATTACTCCACTATTTACTAGTAGAACATTATGATAATTGATTTCGAATACAATGTTACATTTGGAATATGAAAGATAATATATGCACATACTTTTATATATGCAATTGTAGAGGATTCGACATATTTTTGTATAGGTATACAGGCTCGGGAAAAAAAACCGGATTCGAAATCCGGATCGATACCCGAACCAAAAAAACCGGTTCGAGGTGGGTAAAGATAAAAGGAAATTACTTCATTAGGTATAGTTTTTGTAAACTCGTGCGTATTGGATCGGTCCGGGTATTATCCGTTATCCAAACAGGTTACCCCGAATACCTGACATATAATTAAATATCCAAAATATTAATTACATCTAATTTTAATATAATTTAATTATCTAAAATTACAATTATAAATCTAAATATGTCAATTAACTAAAGATTTAAATACCCAAAACAACCAAACTATCCAAATTTTTATGTTTGTCAAAATTTAGCAAAATATATTCAAATATAACTAAATTTATTAAAATTTAACAAATTTTTAAAGTTTTTCGGGTACCAGATTTTTACATACGACATTTTACATATAAAATACCCGAACCAAACGGGTACCCATATTTTCTGGATATTTATAGGATCTAAATTTTTTATCCAAACCGATCCGAACCCGACGATATCCGAACCGGACCAGAACCGAATGTTTAGAAATATCCGAATGGGTCGTAAATTCATTACCCATTAAACCCGAATCCGAACGGATTTTATCCGAACCCGAACAGATTACCCATTTGCCAGGTCTAGGTATACCCACATGAAAAAAAATGTATAATTTTGAGTAAGTTAATAACCATTTTCTAAACTCCATAACAAGTTTTGCCCCAAAAAAAAGGATTCAAATGAGTATGGGGTTTTTCAATTTCAAATTCCTATCACGAAAATACAATTCAAGATTCAAAAATATCATTAAAAAAAAACGTCCATCAATAAATATTATTAGTGAGTTGTTTTATTTATTATTTTTAAATTATGAAATATAATAAATGATAATAAAAAAGAAGTAAAATTACATAAGACTTAATAACTTCAAAAAAAAAAAAAGTTAATAACTTCTATACAAACATTCTTTTTTTTTTTTAACCTCTTCTATACAAACATTCTAAAAGTAAAAAATAAAAGTCATCTATATAGAAAAATATACTTCCTCCGTTCTTTTATAAATGATGTTTTAGGAAGAATGTATATAGATTAAGAAATCATTTACTTTTTGTTTATTTCTAAACGAAAACATCATTTTATTATCTAATCAACTAATAAAAAACTAATATACAGAATATAAATCTTCAAAACTAATAAAAACGTAATTAATTTTGCAATGAAAATTGAAAATATCATCTATTTAATACTAAAATTAGAAGCTTAAAATATCATTTATAAAATAAGGGATGGAATGTGAAGTAAGAAACAGTAGTATAATTTGAAAAGGAAAGAAAATATTTATCGTAAAGTTTACACTTCACCGTCAAAACACAGCTACTTATGTCAGTGACTCTTCTTCTATCTACACGACACAAACCTACCATACACACTCTCTCAATAACTCGCGTGACTTTCCTCCTTCAATTCTAATTGGAACGTATTAATCACGCGCTATTACCTGCAACGCGCTTATCGTCTGGCACACTCACCCGCACCGTACCCGTCGTCGGTCTTTTCGCCAATTTATCGTATTTTTCCGTGAAACAGAATAATAATAATTTAATACTAAAAGTGTATAATAAATTATTAAATCCTGTTTAAAAGAAACTCATTATTGATTTTTCTTTTTTTTGTAACTCTCTTCTCTGTTGCTACCTGTTCTTTCTCTCTGTTCATTCCCTTTTCTTTAGCTTAATTCAGCAAATTTGTTTCTCTCTACTTTGCTCTCTGTTTCTTTGTTTTTTCTTTCCTCTGCAAAGTAAAAGTAATGAGAGCTTAATTATAATGTTTGTCTCATCTTCAAGCTTCAGATCTGATGCTTTGTTTCTGCTAGTAATTGTCTTTTTCTTTTTAGATTAATCACCATTTTTGTGAACAAGAACCAGAAAAGCTTTTCAAGATTCGAGTGAGGAAAAATTTAGCTGAAAATGCTGGAAATTGGAAGTCCCAATGCTCTGTTTTTTCGTACGAACACTACTTGTAATAATCTTCTCCGTGAGCTTCAGGTTTGTTTTTCTTCCTCTCTTTTACTTTGTTGGTTTCTCTGTGTTTTCTTGATGATGACGGTTGATGAAAAAAAAAGTCTTTGTTTTTTTTTTACTCTCAAGGGTTAAAGGATGATTCTTTTGGACTCATAATGAGTTTGGTAGAGACAATTTAACTGAATTTAGTCTTTTGTGTTCATTATCTTTTTCCTCTCTTAGGTCCAAGGGTTCCTGTGAATTTTGACTAAAACATGTCAATTTCTGGAAATTTCTTTACTTTTTTGGTCTCCATGTAACTGTTGATGTTCTGTGGTTTCAATTTCATGCACGAGCTCTCTTACTAGAAATTTTCTGTTTTTGTGTTGTATGGAGGTTGATTTCATGAGTTTAATGGCTTTTTTGGGTTGTATGAAACAGAAAATATGGGTTGAAATTGGTGAGAGTGAGACTGAAAAAGATAGGATGCTGATGGAACTGGAGAGAGAATGTCTTCAAATCTATCAAAGAAAAGTTGACGAAGCAGCAAATTCTAAGGCAAAGCTTCATCAGTCTGTTGCAGCAATAGAAGCTGAAGTTGCTTCTTTAATGGCTGCCCTTGGTGTGTTAAACATCAACTCACCGGTACACATAGCTATCTTCATGATAGATGATTTAGATTGTGTGTTTAGAGCTTAACAACTATTGCTAAAATTTTGTGTTTTCTTGTATTTTGATGTGCAGATTAAACTGGATAAAGGTTCAAAGTCATTGAAAGAAAAGCTTGCAGCTGTGACTCCTCTAGTTGAGGAATTGAGAATTCAAAAAGAGGAGAGACTGAAGCAGTTTTCCGATATAAAGGCGCAAATTGAGAAGATTAGTGGGGAAATCTCAGGATACAGTGACCATCTCAACAAGGCCATGATCAGTTCCTTGACTCTTGAAGAACAAGACTTGACTTTGAGGAAACTTAACGAGTATCAAACACATCTCCGCACGCTTCAAAAGGAAAAGGTAAAGGTTTTGTCACACATCTATAAAGAGCATTGAACAACAAATATCCATCATTTATGGTTACTTATAAACATGTTTATGTTCCTTTCATGCAGTCTGATCGCCTCAACAAAGTGTTGGGTTATGTCAACGAAGTCCACGCACTATGCGGTGTTCTTGGAGTTGACTTTAGTCAAACAGTTTGTGAGGTTCATCCTAGCTTACATAGGACAGACCAAGAGCAATCTACAAACATTAGTGATAGCACATTAGAGGGCCTTGAGCACATGATTCAAAAGCTAAAAACTGAGAGAAAAGCCCGAATTCAAAAGGTAGCTTCTAGTCTACTTATAAACATGTTTCCACAATACCATCCCTCTATTTCATATTTATATAGTGACTTGTCTTTTTTGTGTTTCCAATAATACTTCCAAATGTGCAGCTGAAGGATGTAGTGGCTTCACTGTTCGAGCTATGGAACCTAATGGACACACCACAAGAAGAGAGAACTAAATTTGGAAAAGTTACTTATGTTGTAAGATCATCTGAAGCTACTATCACTGAGCCGGGAATCCTTTCAACCGAGACAATTGAACAGGTTCAGTAGAAGCAATTCTATAATTCCACATTTATGTCTTTAATCTCATTCTTGATCTGAGTCTTTGTTTTGCCTTTACTTTAGGTATCTGCAGAAGTGGAAAGTCTCAGTAAACTGAAAGCAAGCAGAATGAAGGAGCTTGTAATGAAGCGAAGATCCGAGTTAGAGGATCTTTGCAGACTAACGCACATTCAACCTGACACAAGCACTTCTGCTGAGAAATCAACTGCCTTAATAGATTCCGGTAAATATGAATTTTTTTTGGTTTTTGAATAGTTGGTATATACTTGCAAATTCCACATGTTTTAAGCCAAGCTTCCCCTTGTTTCTTCAGGATTAGTGGACCCTTCAGAGCTTCTTGGAAATATCGAAATGCAGATAAACAAAATTAAAGACGAAGCACAGAGCCGGAAAGATATCATGGACAGAATAGACCGTTGGCTCTCTGCATGTGAAGAGGAAAATTGGTTGGAAGAGTATAATCTGGTATGAGAAGCTGAAAGCTTAACACTCACACATTGTTTGAAGGATGTAGTCTAAAGATTAATTCTTTGGTTTCAGGATGAGAACCGGTATAGCGCTGGAAGAGGTGGACATGTAAACCTCAAGCGGGCAGAACGAGCCCGGGTTACAATCAATAAGATCCCTGGTACTTTCCATTTTTCGCCTTTTTCTAGTCTCTGAATAAGAAATCAAATAAATAATTGTAGCTTATACTTTTGTGTGTTACAATTATTTACTTCAGGAATGGTTGACAATCTTATCAAGAAAACACTTGTATGGGAAAATGACATGCAGAATTCGTTTCTATACGACGGTGTAAGCTAAAACTATTTAAAGTAAGTGCAAAGTCATTAGCACCCAAAGTCCTTTCTTTAATTCTTGTAACTACTTCCTGTAGGTTCGATTGGTTAACATACTAGAAGACTATAAACTGACAAGGAAACAACAGGAAGAGGAAAAGAAAAGATACAGGGTTGGTCCAAAAGAAAAACTCTCCTGAAAACACTCAAGATTTTCTCTTTCCCGTTTAAAACAGGTTCTATATCTTTGTGCAGGATCAAAAAAAGAGGCAGGATCTCCTACTAACCCAAAGGGAATCCGTTTATGGATCAAAACCAAGTCCAAGAAGAAGCAGCAGCTTCAGAAAGCCCAATGGTTTCAACATTAGCAATGGGAATGGTTCAGTGCCTCCCACACCTCGTAGAAGCTCGGCAGGGACAACAACTCCTGACATTCTTCTAACTCCGAGATCTTACTCAGGTCATCATCGCCAAAACGGGTATTTCAAAGAATTTAGGAGACTCACTTCTACTCCCTTGAACTATGTGGCTATGCAAAAAGAAGATACTGTTTCTACTACCTACACATCGATTTATAGCTCCGAGCCAGACTCGCCTCTACAAGGCTGACTTGACTCTCTTTTCCACCGGTAAGAGAAAAGATCAAAACTTTAAAGCATCAATTGATTAGCTTAACATGCCCTTCTAGTAGATTCCTCAAATTACAGGGTTTTTGTGGTGATTTTAAACTGTGTAACAGGATTTGTGGAGTAATGTTAATGTTAATAAGAAGCAAGTGAAGAAGAAGGAAGGAGACTTGTGAATACAGAAGGTGACTGACTTTTAGGAGATATGGTGAGATAAAGAGTAAGAAATAAATGTGAAATTTGTTATTCTTTAGAGGTTACAAGTTTTTTATTTTGAAGTGAAAAATACTTCTATTGTTTTGTGTCATGCTCGTGTGAAAGTGTGTGAATGGTCATTCTTGTGCGTACGTATTTGTGTATAATATACGTATTTGCTATATTTTGTGCTTTTAATTAGTAGTACTTTTGGAATTGAACCGTTTGCGTGTACAGTAAAGGTCAGATGGATAGATTCGTTGTGTTTGCGAGTCACAGATGCACATTTGTTTATAATCTTGTATTGTCGTCTAAGGAAGAACCGGACCCGAACCAAAACTGAACTGAATACCCGAATGCCGTGAGTAAAAATACTATTTGGCGAGAGAGAAATAACACGGCGAAGCACACAACAGTCCAGCGACACTCATCGGATGGATTGATAAACAGGTCCGAAATCAACTCACCACCATCATACGTATGAGAGACAGGAGTATGACAAGGCGCTCCAAATTTGGCTCCGCACTCGAACTTGATTGGCTTCAAACACTTCTCAAATTTCTTTTGAAATTCAGCTTAGCTTTTCTTTTGATATCCCGTTGCACTCGTTGTAAAAACGTATATTTTTTCTTTGAATATAATTTCACATTACATTCAAAAAAAAAAATATTAATGAAAACTTAAAACTAAACCATTGCCTTATTATATTTTTAGATATCACATAAGCACAGCGTTACATCGCAACTCAAGGCAAGTACGTATTACTCTCACGTAAATAGAGAGTAATATTATATGGTGCAAGTTTGCAAGATGATAAAATTGATGAGAAAACAAAAATGATAATAAATTATTTGGACTTAATAAGTAAAGCCCAGTTAAGCCCATATATTGACTTTCATAAAACACGGCCCATTCTAAAATAGGATTTATACTGAAAATGCCCATGCACTCATAAGAAACTAGAAAAGTAGAAATTATAACATTTTCTAAAGCTGTTAACCGAATCTGACCGGACCGGTTATCATCGAATAACAATATAACAAGTATACCGAAACTTTGGTACTACATCGAACTACTATTACCTTAACCCAACATAAACTTCAAATCAAATCGATTAAAACCTCAACGCAAAAGAGATTTGACATTTTCACGGCTCGAACTCGTGAACTTGTTGAAGAACTCGGTAGATCGTAACATTAGATCTTCGAGATGTGGTTTCGTCATCATGAGATCTCGTGAAAAAATTGCTGTTCCCTTCAACGTCGAATGAGTTGTGTCTCTTACGTACGTTACGGACATGTTGACGTGGCGGTGGATAAACCGGAGTTTCGTAGCTGGCTCTGTGTTTAACCCAGCCCGGTTTAGATTTCTCCATTGATTTCTTCACGGTTAAAATGGATTTTACTATGATATAATCGTTGAAGTGAGAAATTTTGGTGTAATTAAATTTTCAAGAAACTAAACTTACGTGAATGAGAGAAGATGAGACTGGTACGGGACATTTAACCGGACGATCTTCTTCTTCCGGTTCAACCGGATGCTCAACCGGACAGAATTCGACGTCGAATTGATTGGTTTCTTCATCGTATTCCATCATCACTGACTCCTCCACACTTTCTCTTTTGCCCTAAGGAAAACAAGAAAAAAAAAGGGGTTTGTTCCCAATATTTCAAGAATAATGTGTCCAATATCGTAAAATGAATGAAATTAAAGGGTTTGTGTCAAAATTAAGAAGTGAAGAAAGATTAGATTAGGAGAGAAAATAAAAACTCACTGAGGAATCGAAGTCCATGAGATTGGTGAAGATGAAATGTGTTGAGAGAGAGAGAAGCAATGTGAATGTGAGAGAGTTTGTGTGTATAAAAGGGTAAAAATGAAAGAGAAAGCGAAGAGGTAAAAACTAAATAAATAAAAGTTGGTTTTGGCATGAAAAGGAGGGATTTTTAACCCCACAGTGAAAAAAGATGTGAGGCAGAAAAAGATTCCTTAACCTCCCACTATTTTTTCTTTCTTTTTTCAGGACCATTTTCATATCATTCAAATGGCGTATGGGTGATAAAACTTTTTATAGATTGTTTTTCTTTTTTTATAATATTAGCAATCGGTGCCAAACTTCAAAACATGCAATGTGTTAATGGAGTGTATAAACGGTAAAATTTTATCATAAAAAATTTCACATTATAATTAACTCCAATTAATAAACAAGTTATCAAATATATAAATGACAATCACAATATTCATGCAAAGAGTAAAACTAACAATTCATATATGTCTCCTTTGTAAAACAGTCAAATATATAATCACAATATCAACACTAATGTAGTTTTTTTTTCCTGTATATGTGGAATTGTATCACTATTTGGTTCAGGGTCTAAAAAGATGATAAAAACAACTACCATATATTATATACACTTTCTTGCTTTTAACAAAAGGAGATATGCTATCTTTCTTTGAAAATCCGAACAATCTTTCGCTTTGTTTCATGTCTTACTTTTTTTCTTTCTTCTTTCCCTTTTAGGGCTTTGAAGAAGATTGGTGATGTAGAGAAAAGCTATTGATTTGCTCGTAATCCGTTAAAATTACAAATAAATAAAAATTGCAAAAAAAAAGAAAACAAAACCACTAAAGCCGGCCGTTAAGGGGAAAGCATGAGGTACACCACTTTGCTTTACTTCAACAAGCCGTTTTTGTATGCGAATGGAAAAAGCAAGCTTACTACAAATACACATATATAGTGTATATAAAAGACCATAATTATACGGTAAAATATTAGCGGTATGATATAATTAATTAGCCATGCAATATAATAGAAAACAAACATTGTTAAGAAAAAGTTGCTGATTTTATCAAAGATCCAACATATATTTGAGTAATTTTCTAAAAATAATATAGTTATAGTTTATATCCTATAACAAACAGCCAAGAGACTCTTGAAATCAAAACAAAATTTGTTAAAGTAAACGGAAGAGTTATGTTAGAGCTAGAGATTAGCTTTCGAATGAATCTCGTAGTGATTTGAAATGAGTATTCTAGGGTAATAACTCATCGGGGTTTGAGTTTAAGTAGGAAAACTTATTTATTAAGCAATGTTTTGAAGTTTAGCTCTCTTTTTTTTGAACGGTTGTTTGCTCACATAAGCTATGATTTCTTATGTAGGTAGGTAAGTTTCTTAAGATGACTAGATAAATCGTACAAAAAACATTTGCCAACTTTTTCTCTTGTCACTTGTATTTTCACTAGTGTTTTCTTTTGGATAGACAAGAAAGAACATGACAACAAACGAGAATTGATTGCCTAAATTAATATTATTATTGTTCGAAATTAGATTCGAGGGAAGATATCCTCGAGGATTGCAACAATATTCTTATAGTACTCCATTACCTTAGTTTCATCTTCATCTCTTGCCGCATAATCCATCTACAATTTTCAAAGTAAAGTTAATAAAACTAATAGTAATGAGTATATAGTAGTGAGAGTAAAACGAAGAAATGTACCTTGGTGATTGAATTAAAAAGAGAGGAATAAAGAGACCTAAAAAGAGGTCTATCCTTAGGAGGCTTTGCTTGGATGATTAAGTAAAAGTCTTGCTTCATGTTTGATGCACTTCTCCTCAGCTCTTTCCCTCCTTCTTTCCATAATTTATTTTCTATCATCATCTCTTTAATTCTTTTTATATTTTCTGCATTTTTTCTTAATCCTTCCTATGAACCATATCAAAAACATACGAAGAAATCATATTTAGTATAATCTTTGTTTTTAGTGGTATTATGTAATAAATAATTCAACTAAAAAAATAGTAAATAATGCAATTAAACATAGTGTCTACATGGACGAGTGGACGGACAATTTGACAGTTCTATCCATAACCATTGTAACTCCTGCTACAAAGAGTCTTCTACAAACAAACATATTATGGATAACTTATATGATTAAAACCACAATAACCAAAAGTGATTGATAACTTGCAAATCTATGTATGAGCCTTAGCATTCATTCAATATTCTCTAAACAAAAAATTTTGTAAACCTACTTCGGATAAATCACTTGATCAAAGCTAGAATACTCTAAAAACAAAAAAGTTTGTAAATAAATCTTGTGATTCTAAAGAGCATTGCAATTCGTATATATCAGTCTATATGAGTGAACAAATTTTATTTTAGTAAATAACACCCTCTTTTTTTTTTTCTTTTTTTGTTAATACCAGGAGGTTTGGGGCCGAAGCCCGTAATCCCCCAGACCCGAAAGCACAGCATGTAATATTAGTTTCGTCCCAAGCGTCACTCGAACCGGCGACCTCTAAGCTTCGCCTAGGGTCTTTACCAGTTGAGCTAACGACACTTGGTAACACCGTCACTCAAATGTTTAGCAATTTTTAAGTCGAGGCAACATATAAATTGTAATATAAAACAAATGGATCAAAGTATAACTAAAATGAGTTTTGATCTAGTGGCGTTCTCTAATATATTGCGATGGGGAAATGTATGGACCTACAAAACTCTTCTCTCTTCAATTAACCACAAAAAAATGTAATTAAAGTAAAGACAAGTAGTCGTTTAGACCTGAGCAAGTTCGACGGTGCGTTCAGGCTCAGGTGGAGTAGCGCCGAAGTTGAAAAAATCAGCGGCATTCGCGGAAGCTGACCATTTACGATCAAAGAAGAACACTTGAGGGATTAGTGTTCCTGAAACTGAGAGTAAAACGTCTCTTCGTCTCCTTCTTCTTCTAGATGTATCAATGGAAAATGTTAAGTTAGAATCCGATGTATCAATTGAAGAATCTTGTTTGTGAAAGAAAGTGATATGTGGTGGTGGCTTTGAAATCGCCATATATTCACGTTTTCAGTGCAAACAAAGTAGCTGCGCCATTGAACAACCTCACAAGGATAAGAAGCAGAGATTATTAATCTAACGGTCACCGACGGTAACACGTGTCAACTACTGGAGATATGACACTTCCAACTACCCGCCAAATTTTTCATTTTTTGTTTGTTATATGAATTATCTTAAAGATGCTAATTGTAATTTACAGATACTTCAAATCTCAATTTACGTTTTAACAAAAAAAATTCAAAGTAAGAAACTAATTTTGTTAAGAAAATTCAAACCATAACCAGAATCCAGAACAGTGTTATAAAAACAAAAACAAAAAAACAACTCAAAGTCTAAATTCAAATCATAACCTCTTCGTTGAATAATAGAAAACATCAAAAATAAAAAAATTGTCATGAGACGATAACATTTTTCCGGCGAAAAATGAAGTTGTGGAGACGCACCGCCGGAGCTATAAAGGACAAACTCAGTCTAATCACGGCGGCTGATGAAAAATTCACGGCGGCGATTATCAAAGCGACGAGTCACAACGATCTCTCAATGAACATCGAAAACGTTCAATTCATCTATAGATATTTACAGAGCAACCCTTCTAGTTTCAAACCAATCATACGCGCCGTCTCGTTACGCGTGGAACGCACGCGTAATTGGACGGTGGCTTTGAAATGTTTGATGTTATTACACGGCTTGTTCTTTTCCGGAATCATGGCAGTTGATTCTATCGGACGGTTACCGTTCGATCTTTCCGATTTCGGGAAAAGGAAATCTCGGTTTAGTAGAACCGGTCGGTTTAACATTTTCGTTCGCGCTTATTTTTCATTTCTTGACGAAAGATCGATTCTCTTTTACAATAAGAACATGATTCGAATTGAGATCATCGTTAAAATGCAACGAATCGTTGATTCATTGATGAGAATCAAGCCGATTGGTGAAACGCCTCTTGTAATCGAAGCTATGGAATATGTAATCAGCGAGGTTGTTGTGATTAACGGTCATATCTGCCGCGGATTCGCCAGTTTCTTATCCAATGTTCAGTCGAATATGCTGGAGATATCGTCAGCAGAGGCGGAATTAGCGATGAAGATCGTGGCGAAATCTTTGTCGCAGAGAGAACAACTCTTCAAGTATTTCGAATTCTGTAGAGATTTTGGTGTCACCAACGCTCATGAAATCTCTAATTTCGTACGAATCACGGAATCTCAAGTGATAGTGCTCGACAAGCTTCTCCATATCGCCCCCGAATTAGATCGGAAGGCCGCAAAAGTAACACCGGTAACCGCGGCAGATATGGCGGAGGTGGATTTGGTTACCACTGAGGAGTGTTCTAATAGTCCATCAGATTTAATTAGCTTCTAATCATGTAATTACTAACTAATCAACTTTTATGTTAGTTAGTACACTCGCTAAAAGATTAACATTGCATTATTAGTTAAACTTAATATATCTAACGATTTGTAAAAGGCAAAAATGCGAAAAACAACAAATTATAAAAATATTTCTTCTTCATTAAAATTGTTTAACATAACAACATTTTATCAAAACAACATCTAATGTTACAAGTCAACATTTAAGACCTAAAGATGAATGAAATAGTTGCAAAAGAAAAAGAAAGAAAAGAAAAACAACATTTTTGCTTCCTACAGAGTTTCTCAAAGAAATCTTCAAACAAACAAAAACAGAACATTAAGAATGTATGAATTAAGATATGATTCAAACCCTAAACCGAAGAAGTTACCTTGAAGAGGAAGAAGGAAAACAAAGGTCACAAGTTGTTGTATATACACGATCAATGAGAAAAACTCAAACTATCTGATCGTGACAAACTTATTGGTTCCATGTCTAGCCCAATGACTCTTCAAATCAATCGCATTCCCAAAGCTATAACCTTCTGTTGCTAATTTCTCTAGGACCTTCTTAAACGCACCTTGACTCATCTTCCTACCTGAAATCCTTGCCCCGCGTCTCTTAGTACTCATCGGTAAAGGATACACTGAAATGTTAGTTGTGCAACAAGCGGATTGCCATCCGCCGCAACCCCAACGGTAACATTGCTGAGGAGTTCCAGTACAAGTGCAAACCGGTACAGGTAAACCAGAAATGTCCATACTCACACCATTAATCACAAGATCAACACTCTTCTTAGCCGGTTTCACACGCTGCTGTTGAACATTGCTACTAGCAACATCGCGCTCCTCTTTCGGTTTACGCATCTTCTTAGCTTTCGGTATTGTTGGTGTTGAGATGCTACCTCTCATCTTTCTCTTCTTACTAGGCTGAACAATTTCATCTTCACGAGGAGGGATTGGAATCTCCTCAAACCGGGATGAATTCACAACCGGTTGATGTATCATCTGCATCGAATTCGAACCAGATGTTTCGGACATCACACTCCCGTAATTCGGGGTGCTTATAGGCAACATGTTGAAGAACTTGTTGTCCTTGGGTTGACTAATCCAGCTATAGTTCATGTCATGCTCTCGCGGGTGATACGAACCGTTTGAACCGATCATCAGATTCGATTCACGCCCGGGTAAAAACGGTTTAGTGTTCCGGTCAATAGTAGACATCAGCTGCAAACCAAGATTACCTTTAAATGAAGCAGCCGCTGGTTCATAGTATCCCCAATTGCGAAATCCATCATCATCCATTGTGATTATAAACTACAAACAATGGCATTAAAAGTTCAATAACAGAACATTAAGCAATCGAAAAGTTTCTAAATTTGTGGTTGAATCTGACTCTAAACCTCGGTTTAATCGAAATTCACATGAAATTAACATAAGATCAATCCATTTTCTAAGATTCAGTAACAGGGTCTAATGAAAGAACAGATCTTTGAGGTACCCAGAAACGAAAATTAGGGATTTTAAAATCAAAATCAAATTTTTCTGAAAACCCATAAGCAGATCTTCAGATCTGACAAACCCAGAACCAGATCTAAAGAAACAGAACATAAAGCATCGAATTTTTTGCACAGAATCATAATCTTCATGAATCATGTTGATGATAAGATATTTCGATGAGAACAACGCAGAAATGGAAAGACAAGTACAGTACAAAAGGAGCCAATTATAATTTCGAAAAATTAAAAGAGAGAGAAAGAGACATAGATTGATGAGAGAGAAATCTCTTACATGGGTTTGGTCTAAACGGCTCTTTAAGGAATTTTTTGACCTCCTGGAGAGAGAGAGGAGAGAGAAACCTGAGAGAGATTGGGAAAGAGAAAGAAAGAAGAGAGAGGAAAGAGAAGGCTAAAGATCTTCCCAGTTTTTTTTTTTTGTGAGATAGAATCTTAAAAATGACACTTTAATATTTAAGAAAAACCAAAAGGCTTTTAATAAAAAAATGGTGAAGAGATTTTTTGGTTATTTGTAGGGTACATAGATTTGGGGAAAGTCATGTGAGAGATGAGAAGAAGACAAAAACAAAATCAAAGCCCACTGCTTCTCCTTATCCTTTACATTGTACTATTGATTAAATATATATATTTGTCAAATTCATGTTTTTAAATAGTAAATACATTAAGGTAATGTGATAATTATAGACTCCAATTGGTAGTCAACATAATGGTGGAATAGCGTTTTATAATATGATTATACAAAAGTTTATAAATAAAAAAATATGTATAATCGCACTAAAAATGTAAAAAACGCAGAATTTACGTTTTCGTTTAAAAGTATAAGTAAAATTTCATTATGCAAATAAGTGGGTATATAGTAATTTATTTGTAGAATGGATTTTTATTATTTTATCCATAAAATAATAATAGTTAAAAAAAGCAAGAAAATAATGGTTTATAATGAAACTTATACCTTTTTGAATAATATTTAAAAATTTCACAACAATTTTAACAATTTTTAATATTTATATATTTTATTATCATATGTTATTAAATTTATTAAAGTTATTATTTTGTTTATTAAATATAAATATATATTGGTGATATAATATTATATTCTGCCATTACGTAAAATATATCCAATAGTTTTTATGTAATTTCATTCTGCATTTCTTATTATGCTAACATATATAGTATTATGCGTTTATGCACTATTACCTATCGGAGTCATGATCTATGTGTAAACCAAACGTTTGAAATCAATCAATGTCTCTAAAATTAAGAAATAAATAGCACTACTACCTTCTTTTTTATATATAAAAAATAATAAATAAATAGCTTCATAAATTATTATAAAATAGTGTTTTACTCTTGTCGGATTTCTATACGCAGAAAATAAAGTATAAAGAATGTTTGATTTGAGGCCCATTTGTGTATTTGGGTAAACATTGGAAGTGGAATTAGGATTAATTCTGTAAGAGACAAAGCCCATCAATCATATCTTTGTTAGAATGTTTTTTTGCTCGTTTGATGATATACATATAGGCATTAAGGTCATCCTCAGCAATAAGGCTTGATATACTTAAACCACGTTGAGTCAATCTACACAAATATAACATCATAATTGTGTTAGGATGAGAAGAAGAACTAAAAACAACATATAAGGATATGAATGTGACATTCCCTTTTATGGAAGATCTCGAAAGCAAGGAATGAGTTGTGATTTTTGATTTCCAGGGATACTTCTTAATTAACAGCTGGAAGAGCAATCAAGAAAATGATTGGATATGAAGTCAAAGAAGAACAACAAGCTAGAAAGACAAACTTCAAGGTCAACCACATGCAGTTAGATCACTACAAGATGTAATCTCTCTTACCTGGTACTTTAAAATGCAATAGAGATATCATATATTATGGTCTAGAGAAGCATATATGTAGAATACGGTGGATTGTAAGGGATGAGATATATCTATTAATATGCTCTATTTTGGATGCAGAATTAGCAGCCTTTATATGGGTTATCTACAGATGGTGAGGGTTCTTATCATTACACATCTACGGATGATGAGGGTTCTTATCATTACATGATGTTCTTCACATGTCAAGAAAATATTATTAGAGTAGTAATCTATTTTGAGTTCCAAGATTCAAGCGGTGATATATATTTTAAAAAATTTGGTCCGTTGAAAATACGAATTTACATGAGACAGAAATCTGAGTACGAAGAGAAGAAAATTAACATTTGATAGTTGACAGATCCACGTAAATAACAACATGTTAAACGGATAACAACTCACGCGTATTACACTTGTGTTAACATAAACGATGATCTTCCAACATTTGCGATGTTTTCCATTTGTGTTTTTGCCTATTTGGGTAAACATTATCCACGATGGCACGATCTGTTGACTTAAGTGGAGTTTGGGTCCAACTTTATTGTTACCTAATTTAGGCAGGTCCAGATGCGAGTTATTTAACAGATAGAGGCCCAAACGCCCAGTAAATGGAAATTCTTAATATCAAAATTAGTCCGGTGGACTCATATTCACCATTTTGGCCTATAGTCACACCCTTTTTTATTTGGTCACCAACTTAATAAATACACACATACATTTTAATTAAATATTTTTTGTTGACAGAAGTTATATTTTATCTTAATTCGATTTGAAAGATTGAGTATACAATTTACCACACACCAACATGTACATTCGTATTATACAATTTGTGTTTATTTTCTTGGCAGCATTTTAGAGTTTATGGATGTATGCCAAACTTGAGAATGAAGGCATGAGACCAAATATCCGAATAAAATGAGTAATGATGTATCAGGAATGTTCCTTTTCAGATAAATAACTAAATTATGTTTATATTATTTTTATTATAAAAATATAAATAAGTGAAGATAAAAAGAAAAGATAAAGAGAATCAAAGGGAGGAGTTGGGGGAGATGATGGCATTTCTTTGCTTTGTAAATTTGGAGCATGTGACTTGATCCTTCTTTCCAACTCAAATCTCCTTACTTTATTAATTCTCTTAAATTAACTTCTTATATTTTACCATGTTTATGATCAAATTTATCTTTATTATATAGTTAATGTTTGTTAAGATATCCTAGGTAAATATACCTGAATGTCCAAAAACTAGGTCTAAGACTAAGAGCTACAATATCTTTATACTTTAGATATAAATTTCAACTTTTTTGCTATAACTTTTAACCTTGGATCAACCACTTGACCTTTGTATTTATGACTATATAAACAAATTTTTCTCTTGAAATAAATTATTAACTACAATTTATCTTAATTATTTTTTTCTTACTCACCAAAATTGATCTCTCAATTCATCATTTTCTTTCTTTCTCTATGATCTCTTAATTACTACATTCTGTAACTTTGTATATTGGTTTTTATAATTCACGAGTTCGGATACTATCGATAAAAACAAGACCATTGTATTTCGTTTAACATGTTTTGTTTTCTTTTTGAAATTTTCTTTCATTTAACATGTTGTCCCGAAAAGATTATAAACTACAAATTTAGAATTTTGTAGTCCCGAAATAAATATCATGTATTAGAAAATAAATAATCAATGGTAATAATCGTACCTTAGTGATGGCTTTAGTTGGAACCACACTAAATCCGGGAATTACACTGTAAAATCCGGTTATTGGGCCGCGAGCGTTTTATCTCGTCCTACTTGTGACCTCCCTTTTCAGGGGCCGGGTGTTTCGACACTACAGGCACAAGTATGGAAGCTTAAAACTACGCGAAAGCTTATGCATTTCGCATGGCAATGTATCTCGGGATGTCTAGCCACATCCCAAAGACTTGTAAACCGTCATATTGGTACAGACAAAGGTTGTCCTCGATGTGGCGGTGAAGAAGAATCTATCAATCATCTACTTTTTGAATGCCCGCCCTCTAGGCAGGTTTGGGCTTTATCCCCTATTCCCTCTGCGGGACATCTTTTCCCTCGAAATTCCCTTTTCTATAACTTTGACTTCCTCTTTTGGCGAGGCCGGGAATTTGGAATTGAAGAGGATGTGCTAGAACTCTTTCCATGGATACTTTGGTATATATGGAAAAGCCGTAATAGATTTGTATTCGAAAACATTAGGGAGCCTCCCCTCGAGATTCTAAATTTGGCCTTAAAAGAAGCATCGGTCTGGAAACAAGCCTTTTTGAATGGTATGTCAAATACCGAGGCTCTTGATCGCACGCTTCTGAACCTTTCCCCTCATCCTCAGACATCGGAATGTCAGGTAGATGCCTCATGGCACTTAGAAGATACTTTAAGCGGACATGGATGGGTATTAGTTGATCAAGATCGGATCCTTCATCTCGGTCTCAAGAGTTCGAGAAGAAGTCTTTCACCGCTCCATGCGGAAGTGGATTCTTTGTTGTGGGCAATGGAATGTTTGATCTCGCTAGGAGTCACCTCTGGCGCCTTCGCAACAAATTGCTCCGACATGATATCACTTCTCGATAATCAAGAAGATTGGCCAACTTTTGCAGCAGAATTGGCCTCTTTCCGGTCTCTTCGTTGTTTTTTCCCTTCTTTTAGTATTCGTTTTATTCCTCGTCGTTTTAATACTCGAGCTGACTGTTTAGCGAGAAAAGCTCGGGCTCGGAAGAGTTTTTTTTCCCATGTAAGCAATTCGGTTCCTGAATGGCTCTCCCCAGCGGAGAGTCTATCTTTCCGATAACTTAATTTAAATGGTGTTTGATGGAAAAAAAAAAAAAAAAAAATCGATAAGCAAGTGGGTTAAGTAAGAGTTGGTAGAGTAATCTCATCTTAGGAAATGATTACAAACACGATCTCATTTCTTTCCTTTATACAAAGCTGTCACCATAACTCGATCACATCTTCTCGTCTAATTTGTTCTATTTTTCCTTTCGGTCCATTTGGAACCAATTTTAGACAACTGACAAAAACACATTATGAGGTATCATCTTTTGTTTCTTTTATCAGAAAATTAATTTGTTATTCGACAATAACGAAAAAAAAAAAAAAAAAACTAGTAGGGATAAAGCTAAGGAATACATATGCCAATTACAATTGAAAAAAAAAAACGAAAAAAATGATTACACGTTTTATTATATTTTTAGTCGCTTTGTTTAGTTGAACCCTTGTTAATTACTAGAGATAATGTGTTAAGATAACAGAACTTATGATTCAGAATTTCTAGATCATAATAATGATTAATTTTGGCAGTTTTCATATGATTTAATTCCACAGACAGACACATATGTATTCACACACAAAAACTGTTTTATAATTTATTACATT